AAAACGAGGGAGTTCCAAACAAGAACATCTCTTCATTCCATTACCAACATTCCCACTGCATACCTGTAATTGAGTTTCTCCAACCAATCCACTGGGATGCCCGAGCATGGAGAGAGAGAGAGGAGGCACCTGGAGCAGCCTGGCCACTCCCAGGCTGCAGGAACAGCGGCACCTCCCCGAGCTGAGCTCCTGCTGCTACAGCCCAGCCCTGCAGAGCCCTCACACACCCAGGGTTTCCCCTTGGGCACAGAATTCCACCTGCTCCCAGAGCCTGGGACGTTTGGCCTGGCGTTCTTACGCTTCCGAAGCAAGAATTCCAAGGGGTCAGAGTTCCTGGGGCTTGGAACTGCTCTGCCTCAGGGCAAGGACTGAGCAAGGCCGAGCACAGCGCGAGAGCAGCAGTCTGGGAGAAGGCCAGAACAACTCCACGGCAAATCCAAACGGTTGGATTCACCAGCAGTGCCAAACCCCGGGAATGATCCCAGTTTTAGCAGGACAAGCCCTGCAGCCAGAAGGAAAAGCTCCAATGTTCCCCTAGGAGCATCTGCTGGAATGAGCAGCTGAACAGCCCGGCAGGAAACAACCTCAGCCCGGCCTCTGCCATCCACGGGAACTGGAGAGAAACCAGCAGACACTGGGAACGGGATTCAACACAGCACAGAGAGCTGGACATCTCCACACCCGGAACGCCAACGGATCTGGGGCAGCCACGGGGCACTGAGGGCTCCATCCATAACCAGGGCCTGCTCAAGCAGCCCTTGAGGCTGACACTGCTGCCATGGCACAAACACTGCTGGCTCTCAAACAGCCCCTGGCTAGGGAAGCTCCCAGTCCCGACGGCTGCTCCACAGACTCTGTTCCCTCTTGCCGCCGAAGACAAACAATTTAAACCCTCTGGAACTTGGTTTTCCCCTTCTTTAGGCCACACCTCAAACACCTGAACTGTCAGTCCTTACCCAGCTCCAGCACAATGACCACTGCCCACTACCCTGGCTGAGGCTCTGTATCCAGAAGTGCCCCACAGGAAATGTCGTGCTGTTACTCTGAACTTGGTTTAGACATTTCAAGGCTGGAGAAGCCAAGGATTTTCTTGCCACTCCACTGCACTTCCAAGGTGACTTGAAAACTAGAAAGCTGGGCACCAGCCTGAAGAAATGACACTAATTTAGACTTGTCACTACCTGAGTACTCAGCTCAATCTCTTCATCTTCCTCAAGAGATGAAGATGTTCAGGCCAGCAAAGGCAGCTCCCATCCACATGGGAATTAAAGGGAATTGTGGAAGGGGGAACACCACAAACCTGATTTCCAAAGCCCTGCTTCTGCTGCAGCACATACCAAAGCACCAACCTTATTTTGCAGGTCACCCTTAAATACACTGAACTGCAACCAATGGCAGAATGGCTCTTGAAGCCAGCTCAAACCCCTCCAAATCTGGGGACACAGCTGGATATCCACACACCAGAGCAGGATGTAACCACCTGAATGCCCAAAAAACATTAAAATGCCTCAGAAAGTTCTGCTGCACTGCAAGGCTAAAATCTGCTGAAAGCCTGGGGGTGGATCCCTAAGGAAAACACTGCTAATCCTGGGATGAGGCTCTACAGCTGCATGGCACAGGTCTCCACAGGAACCATCCCTGGAAGGCTGCCAGGGACGAGGCTGTGCCACACCCAGAAGGCTTCCGGAAGAGTTTCCCAAACTCTGTGGCCAAGTGCAGCCAGAAGTGCAAGTGCTGAGCTACAGACAGAGCCAGGCACAGGCTGGAGCACACAGCCTCTCCACCTGAGCTGCACTTTACCTTTCTCTTTGACCAGGTCCTTCAGCGACTGCCACTTGACGTCGAAGGGGATGTTGGTGATGAAGGCTCGGTACCTCTTGGCGGGGTTGGCGTAGGGCTCGAAGCGGTTCCCTCCCCTCTTCATCCCCTTCTCCTTCTTCTTCTCATTCGGGGTCGGGCGCTCGCCTTCGCTGCAAGGAGAGAACTCCTGTGAGCTGCTGGGGATGGAGCAGTGCCAGCACCCCCAGATGGAACAAACCAGAATCACTGAACCCCAGAGCAGCTCGGGTGGGAAGGGACCTTAAAGCCCAGCCCGCCTGGAAAGGAAAAAACACCAAACCAAGGGAAGAAAAAGCTTCAGCCTCAGTCTTACATAATTCCCTTCACTAATCCAATTAATCTCCTTGCTCACTCAGTGCTGCTGGAGAAGATGCACCAACACATGTTGAGGAGGAATTCAGAACACATCAGATAAAAAAGCTGGAGTTTCTACAGTCTCTCTGTCCTGAGCTTTTCCCAGCCCAGGACCTGTGCAGCTCTGCAAACTGCAGGTCAGAAATCCCAGCTCCATCCCCTCAGGACCATTTCAATCCCTGAACACACCCAACAGCCTGCAGGGAAAAAGGAAATTGAGAATGTTGAGGCCTCTGAAGGTTTCTATCTGAGTGTGTTCCCTGCTTCCATCACCCAAAGCTTCTCCAGACACAGGGATGGGAATTTTCCAGTCTTTCTCTCACTGAGCTTTTTAAAAGCTTCTTAATTAATGAAATAATTAAAACTCAAAAATTAGACTTGAAATAGGACAATGCTTTTTCCACCTTCATTTCCATTTGGTTGATGAAATAACACAAAATGCAGTTGTGTTAAAAGCTGCACTCTGATTTTAGTTGTTATTTCTTAAACTGGATTTCCCCAAGGCCACTGAGATCGTGCCCACAGGAGCGTTGGTGTTATCCCTGGGGAATCAAGAGCTCTGCCACGTGGAGCTGGACATTCCAAACAGAACTGCACCTGCAGACACAAACAAATCCCCTGGAGGCATCCCAAACATAACAGGGGCAGGAAAACCAAAATCGTGGCAGAGAGATATCTTTATTTATACTTCCAGGAATGAACTGGCTCCTCGTGCAGACAAACTGCTGATTCCATGTTGCCAGGAGTGCTGGGAACAGAATCCAGGGTGGGAACACCCTCCCCTGTCCCTGGGATCAGGGATGTCTCTGCCCCTGCCTGGCTCAAGCTGCAGTCAATGAAATTGTGTCTGTCGGTATTTTACTGCCCAAAGCACAGTCTGACTGCTCTCCAATGGAAAAAAAACATGAATATGGATCTTTTTCCCCTAAAGCGACACTTGGAAAGCTGTTCCTGGTCTCGGGAAACACAAACCCAAGCTCGAGTCTGCAGCAGGAATCACAGCACACCAGGTTCAACCTGATTCTTATCACCCCGCCTGAAACTGAGGCCAGAAACGCCCTGAGGGAGAGAAGTCCTTTCTACTCAGTGGATTTGGTACCAAAACCGGCTTTGCCAAGTGTGGAATTTTCATCAAGCATCAACGTGAGGAAGTGAGAAGCAGCTGAGGCTTTCTGTGCCCTTCATCCCCACGTTTACAGAGCCGGAACTGCAGCGCTGCTGATTCTGGTTTAAATTTCTCTAACGTTTTACCGAGAGATTGTGCAATCCCTCGCGGGCAGCACCTTAAACCCTCACCCTCGAGGTGTCTGCGCTCCTAAATCCCCTCACGCGTAAACCACCCCCAAAAAGGAGCACTCGGCTCCAAAGCGTGCAGCGGGATGAGGGCAACGGAGTTCTCACAACTTACTGACAGCACAAAAAGTAACGAACTTAACCTCCCCCACGCTGGCACAGCCTGCTCCGCCCAGGGAGGCCGAAACCCCACCAGAACTCAGCTTTTCCCGAGGGGATGGCGGCGGTCCCAGGGCTCCCTTCCCGCCGGGACCGGGCCCGGAGCGCCGAGGGAGCCCCGGAGGCGCCTTCGGGACGGCCCCGCCCGGGATCCCAAGGCGGGCCCGGAGGGAGCAGCGCCAGCAGCGGCCCCGCACACCGCTATCGACCTCACCGGTACCGCTCGCCGGCCCCGCTCCGTCCCGCCGCCCTCAGGCCGGGCCCACGAGCGGGGAGGCCGCACGCGGCCCCGCGGCCCCTCGGCCCCACCGCCTGGGCGGCCCCTCACGGCCCCCCTACCTCTTAGGGGGCGGCCCCCCCGCGCCGGCCGCCCCGTTGGGCGCTGGCGGAGCCGCCGCTGCCGCCGCGGCCGCCGCCGGGGGCGGCTCCATTTTCCCGGGGGCGTTTTGCGAGGCCGCGGCCGCCGCCATTTCCCAGCGCGTCCTTTGTGTGGGGAGCGCGGGGCACGACGGGACGGCGCCGCAGGCCGGGCCGCCAGGGGGCGCCGCGCCGCGCATGCGCGCCAGGGGGAACGAGCGGCGGGCGGCGAGGGGAGAAACGGCGCGCGAGGCGCTGCGCGTGCGCGGTGAGGCAGCACGGCCGCCCGCGCCGGCTGTAATGGCGGGGGTGCGCGGGCGCGGTGCGGCGGCGCCGTGTAAAAGGGGCGGGCAGCAGCGGGGAGTGAGGATTTGAGAATGCGCAGGGCTGCAGCCACGCGGTGCGGGCGGGGCTGGCGGCAGCGGCACCTGGGACTGCCCGCGCTGGCGGCTGAGCCCGTGGCAGGCGCGCTGTACGGAATGGCGGCAATGGTAACGCCGCATGCGCAGTGCGGCCGTGCCGTACAGCATGGCTGCCATGGCCGCGCATGCTCAGTGGAGTGAGCGAAAAAGCAGCCGCAAACTCAAATGGGCTGAGTCCTCGGTGTTTGGAAATAAAGCGACATTTTAGACACAAACCAGACTGTTTGGGGACTGTTATCTACATGATGAGTATGCGTCATGGCAGATCAGGGGATAGCGGGGCCCGCATCCCATGTTGCTGTGAGGAAGCCGAGTTTCCCCAGCCCCGGATCGGAGCCCCGGGGTTCCCTTGCCCCAGATCGGAGCCCCGAGGTTCCCCAGCCGGAGACGGAGGACAGCCGCCCGCCAGGACCCAAGAATGTGCGGAACCCCTTGTGAGGCCGCGGCTCACCGGCGGACTCTTGGCTGAATTGTACAACAGCCGTGGGCGGATCCTTTGACAGGCAGCTGGATCAGCCAATAACAGGGAGGAACGGGGATGCCGCGGCTCGCTGCGCCAATGAGCGGTGGAGAGGGCGGGGCCACACCCGGAAGCGGTGAGGAGCGCGGGGGCAGCACCGGCAGCACCGGGGATCGGGAGAAGCCGCAGCGATGTCGGAACGGAAAGTGCTGAACGTGAGTTGGAGAGGAATCCCCGCCAAGGCGGCCGGGGAGCGTCCCGAGCCGGGCTGGGCCAGGGGAGGGTTCCCCGAGGGCGCGGGGCGGCCCCGGTTGGTTCGGGAGTCGCTCCCGGGATCCGTGAGGCTGGAAAAGGCCCGAGATCGAGTCCCCGCTGTGCCCGGTGCCCGCCTTGTGCCCAGCCCAGCGCACCGAGTGCCCGTCCTCGGGCACCTCCAGAGATGGAGACTGCAAACCCCCCCGGGCAGCCCATTCCGGAGTTTAGCAAAACTTTCCGTGAAGGAATTTCCCCGGTACCGGATTTAAACCCGAGCTGGGGCCGTTTCCTCTCATCCCGCCGCTGTTCCCCGGCAGCAGAGCCCGAGCCCCGGCGGGCTCAGCCTCCAGTGCGAGCTGTGGGGAGCGGGAAGGTTCCCGGAGCTCCAGCACTGCCAAATCTGCTCCCTGTGCTCGGAAACATCCCCGGAATTCCCAAACACAGAACATTCCCAAATCTGCTCCCTGTGCTCGGAAACATCCCCGGAATTCCCAAACACAGAACATTCCCAAATCTGCTCTTTGTGCTCGGAAACATCCCCGGAATTCCCAAACACAGAACATTCCCAGATCTGCTCCCTGTGCATGGAAACATCCCCGGAATTCCCAAACACAGAACATTCCCAAATCTGCTCTCTGTGCATGGAAACATCCCCGGAATTCCCAAACACAGAACATTCCCAAATCTGCTCTCTGTGCATGGAAACATTCCTGGAGTTGCCAAATCTACTCTCTCTCCATAGAAATATCCCCACAATTCCCAAATCTGCTCTTTGTCCATGGAAACATTCCCACAGTTCCCAAATCTGCTCTCTGTCCATATAAATATCCCCAGAATTCCCAAATATAGAAGCATTCCCAGAATTCCCAAATTCCTCTGTGCTCAGAAACATCCCCGGAATTCCCAAACTCAGGAACATTCCCAGATCTGCTCTCTCTCCATAGAAACATCCCCGGAATTCCCAAACTCAGGAACATTCCCAGATCTGCTCTCTCCACAGAAATATTACCCCCCGGACTTCGATCCGGCCAAGATCCCGAAGCTGAAGCTGCCCAAGGACCGGCAGTACGTGGTGAGGCTGATGGCCCCCTTCAACATGAGGTGAGAGCAGCCCTGGGGCCCCTCCTGGAGCACTGGGATCCCTCCTGGGATAATGGGATCCCTCCTGGAATAATGGGATCCCTCCTGGAGCAGTGGGATCCCTCCTGGGATAATGGGATCCCTCCTGGGATGATGGGATCCCTCCTGGAGCACTGGGATCACTCCTGGAGCAGTGGGATCCCTCCTGGGATAATGGGATCCCTCCTGGGTTAATGGGATCACTCCTGGAGCAATGGGATCCTTCCTGGAGCACTGGGACCCCCCCTGGAATGATGGGATCCCCCCTGGAATGATGGGATCCCTCCTGGAGCACTGGATCCCCCCTGGAATGATGGGATCCCCCCTGGGATGGGCTGGAAGGCTCTCAAAGCCCAGCCAGGGCCACCAGCAGGGTCACTCCACCCCCCCAGGCTGGGACACCTGAGGCAGCTGGAGCAGGGGGAATCTCCTGAGGAACTCCAGATGTTGTTGGGCCCAGGCTCCAGATGTTGCCTCTGGTGGCTCCAGGGCAGCCTGCAGGGAAGGGGGTGGGGGGGTTTCCTTCCAGGACCTGACAGGGAGGAGGGAGAGAGACCAGGGACAAGACAAGGGACAATCTCCACACTGCATTCTGCTCTGGCACAAACACAGCACAGAAAAGGATAAGCATTGTGTTTTCTTTCTCTGAGGTTCAGAGAATGTGAATCCCAGAAATATTCCTGGGAAGAATTGTGCCTTGCTTTTCTCTGTGAAGGGAAATGTGGGGCTGCACACCTGACCTGACAGGCCAAGGAACCAAAACACCCTCACTGTGGGTGAACAATCCCAATTTCATTCTGCTCTGGCACAAACACAGGCACAGAAAATGGTAAGAATTGTGTTTTTCCTTTCTCTGAAGCTCAGAGAATGTGAAACCCAGGAATATTCCTGGGAAGAGCCGTGCCTTGCTTTTCTCTGTGAAGTGTGGCAGCACTCCCAGCCCCTCCCCAGCCCCGTTGCCCCCCTCTGGACGTTTCCCTGCCCCTGCCCAGGTGCAAGACGTGTGGGGAGTACATCTACAAGGGCAAGAAGTTCAACGCCCGCAAGGAGACGGTGCAGAACGAATCCTACCTGGGGCTGCCCATCTTCCGCTTCTACATCAAGTGCACGCGCTGCCTGGCTGAGATCACCTTCAAGGTCAGCCCCCCGGTGCCTGGGCAGCCTGGGGGGCATCCCAGGGAGCAGCTGGAGCTGTGCCAGGCTGCTGGCATGGAGATCAGGGCATGGTTTTTCACCCCCAGGGTGGTGGGGTGCTGAATTCCCCCCCGGGAATGGGCACGGCTGCCACAGCTCCAGGGAACTTTGGACAATGGGGTGGGTGGGGTTGTCCCAGAGAAAAGAATCCCAGGATGGTTTGGCTTGGGAGGACCCTAAAGCCCATCCAATCCCACCTTTCACTCAACCAGGTGCCTCCAAGCCCTGTCCAACCTGACCTTGGACACTTCAAGCCACAGCTTCTCTGGGCAATCTGTTCCAAAGTCTCCTTAAATCCAATCCAACCCTCCCCTGCCTCACTTCCAGACCATTCCCCCGTGTCCTAGTCCTCCCTGCCTGGGTAAAAGTTGTTTTCTCTCTGTTTCATCAGCTCCTTTCAAGGCCAGAGCTGATGGTCCCTTCCAGCTCAGGGTGTTCCATGGTTCCCTGGCACTCCTGCCCAGCAAAGGCTGATGGAGTTGCTTTGGTTCCCTAATTTAAGATTTTTTTGGTTAATGTGAAGTGTGGTGGGTTTGGGAAAGCACAGAACCAGAAGAGCTGAGTCCCAGGGTGGGTTTCTGGGTTTGAAACCAGCAGAAGAGCTGAGTCCCAGGGTGGGTTTCTGGGTTTGAAACCAGCAGAAGAGCTGAGTCCCAGGGTGGGTTTCTGGGTGGATCACCCTTCCTGTGGCAGCTGCATTGGTGGAGCTGGGGGATGTGTGGCTCTGAGGTGGCTGTGGGCTGGCTGGGGCAGGATCCCCCCCTCCCCTCCATGGTTCTCCTGCTGCTCCCCCTCAGACAGACCCTGAGAACACGGATTACACCATGGAGCACGGCGCCACCAGGAACTTCCAGGCAGAGAAGCTCCTGGAGGAGGAGGAGAAGAGGATGCAGAAGGAGAGGGAAGAGGAGGAGCTCAACAATCCCATGAAGGTACAAGGAGTGCAGGAAAACCTCTGCCACTCTGCCTGACTCTCCCCAGCCACGGCAGTGACTTTGTAGCCATCCAGACTTTCCTGTCCTACCCAAAAATGAGGATGAGGAGGATCCTCTTGTGCTTTGTCCAGCGTGGGGAGGTGTTGGAGGCTCCTGTCAGGCTCTGCTGCCTCAAATATCCCAACTTATCCCACCCAGGTCCTGGAGAACCGAACCAAGGACTCCAAGCTGGAGATGGAGGTCCTGGAGAACCTGCAGGAGCTGAAGGAGCTCAACCAGCGCCAGGCCAACGTGGACTTTGAGGCCATGCTGACAGCGACAGAGCAGGGACAGAGCCAGGACAGAGCCAGGACAGCAGGGACAGAGCAGGGACAGAGCAGGGACAGGGCTGTCCCCGCTCCTGCTGCCCCTGGAGCCCCACCCGGAGCTGGAAGCACCGCCAGGGGCCCGGGGATCCCGGCCCACGCTGTTGTCACCTCCTGCAGCAGCAGCAGCGAGGGGAAGGTGTTTGTTTGTGTTCCCTGCAGTGCTGGTGGGTCCCAGCCCTGCTCCCAGGATGTCTTTGGGAGTGCCAGGGCTGGACAGGACTCTGCTGTGTCCATTCTGGGGGTGCCACTGCCCTCACCCCCCCAGTGATCGTGCCCAGGTCGGGTTTGGGGTGCCCTGACCCCCCCCAGCAGGAATGGCACCTTGGAGCTGTCTCCTTCCCACCGGGGTGCAGGGACCCCCTCCTTCACGTCACCCCCAGCTGCTTCTGTCCCAGGGTGTCTCAGGTGCCACCTTTGCACACACCCGGGGGTCCTGCAGCCCCTCACTGCGGGGACAGGGCTGTCCTGCATCCAGCAGCCCCCCGGATGTCCCCAGGAGCTCGGGGACAAAGCCCTCCCTGCCGTTCTGAGCCTGCTGGGCTCCAGCAGCTCGGGAATAAACGGGGTCTGGCAGAGCCAGAGCAGAGCTTCACCCCAGAGCTTCGTCTTGCAGAGAGTGATTTGTACGTGGGCACTGTGGGACCCTGCCCCAGGGACCCCCACCCCCGTGACAGGGACCCCCCAGTGCCCACCCACCCCAAGGCGGGCTCTCCTCACCCATGGCCATGAGCTTCCCCCTCATCAAGGCACCAGCTCTAATTGCTGAGCAGCCTCTGGCTAATTAACACCCTCACAGAGGGGCTGGTGGGAGGGGGGGGCCCGGGGGGGCTCTGGGGCGTCAGGGAGAGCTGGACAGAAGGGCAGCCCCCCATCCCAATTAGCATTCTGTGCACATGCCTTAATTAGCCTCTTCAAATATTAATGCTGGCCGCTGGGCTCAGCCCGGGCTGGGGGGGCGGGAGGGGGGGTCTGCGGCCGTGTCCTCCCAGATGTGTCCCCCCACTCCCCAGCTGTCACCACCCCCCAGCACCGGGGGGGACCCCAAGGAGAGGGACCCCAAGGGGAGGGACCTTTGTTCTGGGGACAGACAATGGCACGAGGGGACTCGGGGCAGGGCTGGGGGGGGTCCCAACCTCCTGCCCCCAGCGTGGTGTCTGAGCCCCCCCAGACCCCGCGGCAGAGGGGGAGCAGAGCCCCCCGTGCCCCCCGGGGTGGGTGACACAGCTGGGGGGTCCTTGCTCCCCCAAAGCCCTGCGCCCCCCCAGCACCGGGGGGGGGGGATCCCAATCCCCGGCCTTGCCCGCCGCTCGGGGGGCGGGGGTTGAGCCCCGCGGGGTCCCTCCGTGTCGCCCTCGTTGTCCCTGCCGGTGTCCCCTCGGTGGTCTCGCCCCCCCCGTGCCGGTGCCCCCGGCGAGGCGGGCGCGGGGGGGGGGGATCGGGGGCTCCGGTCCGGGGGGGGAGCTGGGGTCACTGGGAGAGGAAACTGGGGGGCGGCCGGGCACGGTGGAGTCCCTGGGAGAGGGGGAAGGGGAGAGGGGCTGGGGGACAAAGGGACCAGGTGGGCGGGAGAGGGACGGGGCTGGGGACACCCGTGTGGGGGCTGTGGGAGCCCGAAGGGTCCCGTGAGGGCACCCAGGGCCCGGGGGGCTGCGGGGGGGGCAGCGGGGGTCCCGTCCCACCCGGAGCCCCCCCGGCAGGGCCCAGGTGAGAGCGAGTACTCGGAGCCCTTCGAGGGGGAGCAGGACCCGGCGCTCGAGGGCGGCTGCGACGAGGAGGCCACAGGTGGGTGGTGACACCCGGGCACCCCCAACACCCCCAGCACCCCCGCGGGGGTCCCGGGCATCTCCCACCGCCCCCTTCCCCGTCGGCAGGGTGTCCGCGGCAGGGCGAGGGCCGGCGGGGGCGGCCGCGCCGGGGTCCCCAACTCTACGACACCCCCTCCGAGGAGTGGGACACGGCCGGGGATGGCCCGGGGGGACCCCCGGCCCGCGAGAGCCGCCTCCCCCGCGACGACGAGCGCCCGGCAGACGAGTACGACCAGCCCTGGGAGTGGAAGAAGGATCACATCTCGAGGGCCTTCGCAGGTGACAGCGTCCCCCCGGTGCCACCTCGGGAGGGCACGGCTCCCGTGGCTGCCGCTCCTGGCCCCCTCCTCCTTGTGGGGACCACCCCAGGGTCCCCCAAGCCTACATCCCTCAGCTTCCATGGGTGTCAGTCCTGGACCTCAGCATCCCGCAGCATCCCGGGGTCCCCTCCATGTCCCCCAGTGCCACCCCAACGCCCTGTGCCCCCCATGGGTACCCCCCGGAGCGCTCCTGGCCCCAGCGATGTGACACCGCGGCAGGGCAGAGCCACCTGTGGGACATTCCTTTGTGGCACTGAGCGGAGCCGGCGGCGCGGGCGGGGTGGGTGGGTGATGATCAGGGTGGGTGATGTCCCTTTGTCCCCGCAGTGCAGTTTGAGAGCCCCGAGCGCTCCCCCAGCCTGTCCCGGCCGCTGCCGCGCTCCCCCCGCGCCCCCGGCGGCCCCCGGCCCGCCTGTCCCCCCAGCCCCCGGCACGTGGACACCTCGCTGCCCCTGGAGAAGCAGGCGTGAGTCTGGGGGCGTCCCCTGGGGTGGCACCGGCGTGCCACGGGGCCACAGCCACAGGGAGAAGGTCCCCCAGGGTGGGTCCTTGTGGGGTCAAGGGTGTCCCTGGGTGTGGCTGGGCCCTGTGACATGGATGGGTCCCCAAGGGGTGTGGAGGGCCCAGTGTCCTGTGTGAATCCCCATGGGGCTGGGTGCCCCACAGGATGTTTGGGTGCCCTATGGCATAGCTGGGTGCCCCATAGGATGGTTGGGTGCCCCATGGTGTGGTTGGGTGCCCCATAGAATGGTTGGGTGCCCCATGGCGTAGTTGGGTGCCCCATAGGATGCCCCATTGTGTGGTTGAGTGCCCCATGGCATGGTTGGGTGCCCATAGGATGGTTGGGTGCCCCATTGTGTGGTTGGGTGCCCCATGGCATGGTTGGGTGCCCCATGGCATGGTTGGGTGCCCCATAGAATGGTTGGGTGCCCCATGGCATGGTTGGGTGCCCCATGGGATGCTTGGGTACCCCATGGCACAGGAGGTCCCTGTGGGGTGTGGGTGGCTCCCCGAGGCACAGGGGGTGCCCGAGTGACCCCGCTGTGCCCAGCTGGTACCACGGCCCCATCGGGCGGGCGGGCGCCGAGACGCTGCTGGCGCTGTGCCGCGAGGGCAGCTTCCTGGTGCGTGACTGCGAGACCAGCCCCGACGACTACTCGCTGTCCCTCAGGTGAGCGTGGGGACACGGGCACAGCCCGGGCACAGCCCTGCCAGGGGCCATGCCAGGCTGGGAGCGTTGGGTTGGATCCGGGTGCTCCTGTCCCAGCGGCCGTGGGGACGTGCTGGCATGTCCCTGTGCACGGCACAGGCTGGAGGTGACCCGGAATCCCTCTCCTGGGGTAGTGCCACCCCCTGCCCCTGCTCTGGATGGGGTCCCCATCCCTGTCCTCATCCGCACTGCTGTCCTCATCTGTACCCCGATCTCCATCCCAGTCCTCATCCCTATTCCCATTCCCATTTCCTACCCCATCCCCATCCCTATCTTTGTCCCCCTCCCTGTCCCAGCCTCCACCCCGCTCCTCTTCCCTGTCCCCATCCTCATCCCTGTCCAGATCCGCACTTTATCCCAATCCCCATCCCTGTTCCTGTTCCTACTCCTCTTCCCATCCCATCCCACCCCATCCCACCCCATCCCATCCCATCCCTGTTCCCATCCCCATCCCTGTTCCCATCCCTGTTCCTGTTCCCATTCCCGTTTCTGTCCCATTCCCGTTCCCGTCCCCATTCCTGTTCCCATCCCCGTTCCTGTTCCCATCCCTGTTCCCACTCCCATCCCCGCTCCCGCTCCCGTTCCCGTTCCTGCTCCCGTTCCCGTTCCCGCTCCCGCTCCCATCCCCGCTCCCATCCCCGTTCCCGTCCCCGTTCCCGTTCCCGTCCCCATCCCCGTTCCCGTGCCTCATTTCCCGCCCGTCCCGCAGGAGCAGCCAGGGTTTCGTGCACGTGAAGCTGACGCGGACCCGGGAGCAGCACTTCACGCTGGGCCGGGCCGGGGCCGCCTTCCCGTCGGTACCGGCGGCCGTGGGGCACTACACGGCGCGGGCGCTGCCCGTGCGCGGTGCCCGCCACCTGTCCCTTCTCTACCCCGTGGCCGTGCAGCCCCTGTGAGCCCCGGACCCCCGGCCGCGCCCCCCGCCCCATTAAACCGCCCTGTCACACCGGGGGGTGACGCTGTGCTGCCTCCGAGGGGGATTTGGGGACGGGGATTTGGGGGGCGAGGATTTGGGGAGGAGTTCCCATTCCCGTTTCTGTCCCATTCCCGTTCCCGTCCCCATTCCTGTTCCCATCCCCGTTCCTGTTCCCATCCCTGTTCCCGCTCCCATCCCCGCTCCCGCTCCCATCCCCGCTCCCATCCCCGTTCCCATCCCCGTTCCCGTTCCCGTCCCCATCCCCGTTCCAGTCCCCGTTCCCGTTCCCGTGCCTCATTTCCCGCCCGTCCCGCAGGAGCAGCCAGGGTTTCGTGCACGTGAAGCTGACGCGGACCCGGGAGCAGCACTTCACGCTGGGCCGGGCCGGGGCCGCCTTCCCGTCGGTACCGGCGGCCGTGGGGCACTACACGGCGCGGGCGCTGCCCGTGCGCGGTGCCCGCCACCTGTCCCTTCTCTACCCCGTGGCCGTGCAGCCCCTGTGAGCCCCGGACCCCCGGCCGCGCCCCCCGCCCCATTAAACCGCCCTGTCACACCGGGGGGTGACGCTGTGCTGCCTCCGAGGGGGATTTGGGGACGGGGATTTGGGGGGCGAGGATTTGGGGAGGAGTTTTTGGGCAGAGATGGGGATGTGGGCGGGGGGGATTAGGGACAGGGATGGGGACAAGAGTGGGGACAGGGAGGAGAAAAGGATGGGGATGGGGATGGGGACAGCAATGGGTGCCTCTGGTGCATCTTGGTGCCCAACTCTGCGGTGTCCCTGGGGAAGGCAGGACAAGGTGGTGGCACTGCCACCGCTGTCCCACCCTGCTCTCACCACCGTGCAGGACCCCCAGGATGGGGGGGGAGGGGGAGTCGAGCTGAGTCCCCCGGCCATGGGCACAGCGTGGGGTGGCACTGCCCGGGGTCACCCGCGTGGTGAGGGGCTGGTGGCACTGCCCGGGGTCACCCGCGTGGTGAGGGGCTGGTGGCACTGCCCGGGGTCACCCGCGTGGTGAGGGGCTGGTGGCACTGCCCCCCACGGGGGGGTCCTTGCTTCCCACCCCCAGCACAGCCCTCGGGTGCCGGATGACACCATGCAAGAGCCCAGGGGACAACAGAGTGGCTTCCCCTGAGCAAGGGGTCCCAGGGGCCGCTGTCACCCCTCTGGCACGGTGACAACGAGCTGCCCACGCGCGGGGCACAGGATGGCACGGGGGGGGGGGCGGGGGGGACACAGAGGACGCGGAGCCGGGTGACAGACAGGATGCTGCCAAACACCTTTTTTTGGGGGATTTCCTGAGGAAGGCAGAGCTGGGGGAGGGTGTGAGGCACAGCGGGCACCCTCAGGGCCGGGGGGGCAGGGGGGGCCCCGCGCCCGCCGCAGCTCCGGCTGGTACCGGCACACCTTCGGCTCGGGGGGGGGCGGCTTTGCGGTGGCCGACGGGGACACCACGTTCAGGTAGATGGCCGTGTCGGGGTGGGCAGCGCCTGTGGGGGTCACTTCTGTCAGGCCGGACCCTCGGGGGACACGCGGGGTGCCCCGGAGGGGGGGGACGAGCAGGGGAGGTTTGGGGTCAGGGGAACGTGGGGGTGGTGGGCA